TCATGTTTCATTGCTTATTAATTATATTTTAAACACTTACTATTTAGATGCAGAAGTTAGATTTGCTTATGCTAAGCTGCTGTTTCCCTTTACTTCTTTACCTTCCCCAGACAGACAAACCAGATGAAATTCAGCAACTGTGGGCATGAGCACCTTAAATGCTGTATAAATAAAATGGCCATAAAGACTATCTTTGAACCGAAATGGCAGAGAACAAGGTAGGATTTTAGAAATGTCACTAGGACTGCAAGTGAGACTGGTTAAACACTGAGATCGACACACTGACAGGCAATTTCTACCACAATTACAGGGGCGTAGGTTGTAGCCATATTGGTCTAAGGACATAGGCAGACAACATTCCTTGGGTAAATCTGATATCTTTTATTAAACCAACTAAATAGTTGGCCTAATCAAAGATACCAGATTTACCCAAAGAACCTTGTCTGCCTATTTCCACCATGATGCACCAGGGCAGACGTAGCAGCCAGTTCCACTGGAGAAGTCCATGACCAAATAGCAATGGCTTGTTCCAGCTGAATTCTTGCATCTGGGCAAAATTTTTAAGAAAACTAAATCAAGCTGGTCAGCACTTTGTTGATTTTCCACCCCAGATTTAAACATGCTATGTCCACAGTTAAATCAGACCATTTTCACTGGAGTCAGAAATCAGAGACTGATAGAAAATGAGGGTTGAAGGGAGCTCAGGGGGTCGCATCTAGTCCAACCCCTGCTTCAAGCAGGACCAGCCCCAACTACATCATCCTGGCCAGGGCTTTGTTGAGCCGGGTTTTCAACATCTCCAAGGATGGAGTGTCCCCAACCCCTCCGGGCAGCCTGTTCCAGTGCTTTACTACCCTCCTCGTGAGAACGTACTTCTTACTATCTAACCTCAACTTCCCTTGCTGCAACTTGAGCCCATTGCTCCTTGTCCTGTATCTGCCCCCACTGAGACCAGCCCAGCTCCAGCCTCTTTGCAGCCCCCCTGCAGGGAGGTGAAGGCTGCTATTCAATCCCCCTTGGTCTTCTCTTCTCCTAACTAAATCAGCCCAGCTCCCTCAACCTCTCCTCACCAGTCCTGTCCTCCAGCCCACAACCATTTTCATTGCCCTCCGCTGGACTCTCTCCAATGTGTCCACATCCTTTCTGCAGTGGGGGCCCACAGCTGGACACAGGACTCCAGATGTGGCCTTCCCGGTGCTGAATAGAGGGGAAGAATCACTGCTTTCTGTCTGCTGAAACGGCTCTGTGCAGATGACCAGCTAATGGGATGCCTCTCTAGCTACCTCTACCATTCGCTCAGTTGTAAACATAGTTACTAATGGAAGGATGAAACTTTAAACGGGCTCCACCATAATCGTAGTAAGTGTTTCCATTAAAAAGCCATTATGACATACGCCAAACTACTAACATGGGAACATATAGAGAGAAGACAACTGTGTACCTACCGCACCATCCACCTGCCAAACAATTTTTGTACCTGGGAGTCTTTTCTGATCACACCCTCACACCTTTTTCCAAAGGTGGGTCACATTTTAATGGACGGACTTGCTATCAGTCTCTGGCACCCACGATTCCTGGAATTAAAGAACGGCCCATTCTTCTAGCATTTATGCGAAGAAAGAATGCTAGAGATGTTTTAACATCTGATTTGCTTTTGGACCTGGAAGCCAGGAAGAGCCAACACCATGTCACCGGCCACCTCTTTGTGAAACTATCCCAGGTGATGCACAGACCAGGGTCAAGTTGCCTTGCTCATTAGCTCCCACTGGACAAGATATGGCATGATTGGTTTGTGTTGCTTGCATGGTCTTACTTGGGTAGCTGGAGGAACTGCACTGAATTATTTTCTTTTATTCTTCCTCTCAAGACAGCCTCCTTGCTTCTTTCTCCGTTGCCCACCAGTCTGACGATGTGCTGTGTCCCTGTCATTCTCAATTTATCCTAAGTCTTTAAAAATATATATAAAGGAAAAACCCTGGCCTAACCACAACTTTGTGGTTAGTGTGCTTTGATTTACCCTACTAATGAGAACTATAATTTAGCACCAAATACTCATGAGGAATTATAGCTCTGCTGACTGGCAAATAATTTGCCAAGGCAGATTAGTTTAGCTGCATAAAATAAATATCCACCTGCACATACTAGCACTAATCAGGGCGTGAAATTAAACTTTTTATTCAGTGGGAAATAACTGCTGCAAGGCGGCGATTTAGTCTGGGAAGCAAATATTAAGGTCAGCCTATTCTCTCTTATGTTTATAGTATATATAATAAGGGGGAGGGCATGGAGCAAGAAATTCTGCTTTCGAAGTCTAGGAAGCTAAATACTTCAATGATGCGATAGCAAATTTGCCATTTGCTTTTATAATTGCATACATTTAATGGAGCAAAGTGGCTAAAATGAAATGCTGTAAGAGGAGTGAGGGTGAAACTGCTGAAGTACCTAAAGCCTGTATCAACCTTTGAGAAAACTGCTGCCAAAAGCAGGAGTTTGGACTAGAAGCAAGGTTTAGGTTCAGATCTATGTTGGCTTCAGCAAAACCCTCCAACTGAGGGAAAAATATTATTCCAATTTAGTTAACCCAAATTACTAAACACACATTTAAAGTAAAAAAAACCAGGAAGCTATCACCTTACATCTAACAACTAATTCTACGTTCTCCCTGCTGCTTTAAAAAAATGATAATTATCTCCCTCATGTTTCCCTAGCCTCAGATGCTTGACATTCCCTAGTAAAAGAAAACTACAAATATACTGTTAGGGTAGCCATAAAAAGCAGTTTATCCCCCCAAAATTCTGCCTGGAGCAGGGGATTGGACTAGACGACCTCCAGAAGTTTCTTCCGACCCTTCTTTCTTATTATTCTATGAAATAGGAATTTGAAAAGGATCATTTATAATTTCTGGGATATTAAAGACCTAGCACTACCAACAGGGGTAAGTCAACATAAGCTGGACCTATGTAAAGGGCAAGAGTTTGACTATCTGTTCCCCCTCCTAAGCAGACAGAGAAAAACAGATAATCAGCTCAGGATTCACTTCTCTTAAGCCACAGATCATGATGGACACTATTTAGCATGCTGGCTGACTCACTTCATGGAGGTCAAGTCACCGCGAACCTACCAATATCAAATTTAAGGAAACTCAGGGTTTGCTCTGCCACACACAATTGCTGTGAGCTATAAACCACGGCGTGAGTGTGTAGGACATACTTTGCCTTAACATAGCACCTGCACACCTAAAATTCTCCAGGCATATGTAAGGTTTGGGAGGATCAGCGTCATCAGCATTACAAAGATGCTCTGCTCGAGGACAGATGAAGCCAACGTACATTCATTTGAGGGGACTAGTACAGATCACAAAGACATACACTACCCGGGGGCATGCCCCATCTTACTCAATTCCAGGAAAGGACACTGTTAACTTTGGACATGGAGAAGAGACATTCATGACGAATGCCAGCGTCACCATCTTCCCACCCAAGTTCCAGGGCAGGAAATCTAGATGGGAGAGATTGCCCATTCACTTCCCTTAAGCCACAAATCATGTTGAATGCCATTCAGTCCGCTGGCTGACTTACTACACGGAGCTCCAGAGTGAAAAAGAGAAAGTAAAACTATGTATTAAAATGCTGCCTGGAAAGCCATTTTAAATAAGATCCCAAACTGGTCAGGTACAGCACCGTGCACGGCTAATTAAATACAACTGAAGTTGTCACTAGTCCATTTGGGGAAACAGATGTTGCTTCATACAGGCTTGATATTTTTCTTAAATACCTTTCAAAATGAGGAACAAAAAATATGAACTCTTATAAAAAGGGCTTTATTGTATTTTTATAGCATATTACATACCTTGTAACAATCATTTTGTTAAGTGTGGATGTCAGTTTTATTTTCTGTCCCTTTTTTCTTGGCTATTTACAAGCTTTGTAAGAATCGTTCCTTAATTAAGTCTAAACATAGTTTTATATAAATGGATTCCTGGAATTAAAAACGTTCAGACTTAAGAAATGATTGTTACGGAGACTGTAACAGGCCGTAAAAAAAGAATGCCACTTTAAACAAAGATTTCTCATTTTAATTAAAAAGATAATCATCAGAACATTCGTACACTTAACAGAACCATTCGAAGCTACTTTGAAAAAAAATATCTACTATTCTATGCGGGCGTACATAGTTTAGTTTATATGACATTTAATCAAAGTCTCAGTTGAGCCTGCTGCATTTGTTCTTTAAGTACTGTATCTACATTTTTAAACAGCCTGTTCAAATATGGAAGCCACTTGCAGAGCCCCTCCTTTATAGCCCTTTCGCAAATGGTTATAACAAAATTCCATATTCTTGAATGCAACAAAAACCAGGCCTCTCTTTAAAGCAACCATTTTCCTCCCCCTCCCAAAATAAATTCTTAATGGAATATATCCGATTGTCTTGTGCATTCATTTCCTTTAAGTTACACCTTATGAAGAGGGTAGTTTTATCTCAACTACTTAAGCAACACCCGGAAAGGGATGACATGTACCTAGGAAGATACTAGTGATGCTAATCCCCTCCTGTACCTGACCTAGAGTCTTCTGTACCTCCCGTACCTGACCAGATCTGTACTAGAGTGCTGGCCTATATCATCTATGGCATCTTAATAATATCTTACTTGTATATACTGGTTCTAATTCAAAAGAAACATTAAAAGAGTAGGTTAATGTATTAACTGCATGGGAGGAAACACTCCATTCACCACTGATAATGCTGCTATCTCTGGGGTGAAGCCGCTTAACAGCACATGCCAGCAATTGACCCACTGGTTTAGTATTGTAAGTGAATATGACTGTGCGTCTGTTGGAAACTGTAAGAGAAGTGTGGGTAAACAGAATGTAATTACCTATATTAATTAGAATGTAAGGTTTTAGATAAAACGTATTATAATTGTTTAGGCGTATCTAGCAGACTCGTGAGACGTGGGCTGAACACATCAATATAGCTTTGTTATCGGCTCGATTACCTACCAAACAGGAGGGACCAGACCTTCCTTTCAGCCCAGCAATAAGCCGCACCTACACACTCTCACCAGGAAAACACAGTCCGGTTTGCTTTGCAAAATGTCAAATCTATAAACTGATTTCTGACACTCCGGGGACGGTGGGAGGGGACCCCTCTAAGGTCTTTTCTTTGTCTTTCCTTTCCCCTTTCTTTCTTTTATTTGTTTCATTCATGAAGTCATCACAGGATGAGGTTTCAACATGACATTTTCCATCAGTAGCTAGGCAGGAAAACATTAAAAATTAGCAGGTTTTTTTCTTCCCCTGACATCTAATGACTTCGAGATTGCTCCAAAATCATTGCCAGGGACTAGGCAAGCATTTTTTAAATGAAAAATAATCATACAGACAAGAACAAAAATATCACCACCTACAAGGCTGCTTCCAGCCCTTATTGTTTGTTGTGTGAATCCGGAGCCAAATTGTAAATATTGTACTGGGGCCCGGAGAAATAATGAGTCTGGTCTCTTCAAAGAGTGTTTCAATACTTAAATAAGGAAGGCACCTTGACACTTGTGAAAAGATGCTGTGCAAATCAATAATGAATAGACTGGACTGAAGTGAGCCATGCTTTGACCCACTTAGTAAGAATCAAGGTACGCCAAATTTGTCATCCACTTGGACAGACAGGAAAATTTACTGTGGATGAGTCAGCATTGACTGAAACGCATCTAATCCGTCTTTTCCAGATCTACGCCTGTACTTATGTGGCTCTCCTCACTATGGCATCTAAGCAACTCCAACTATTTAAATATCAAGACAACACCCAGTGGATTTCCCCCCCACAACCTGGTTCAGGTTAAGAAAACTTTCTCTCGTCCACCCCATCCTAACTGATGCAGAACCTCTCTAACCATGGAAAGGAGAAAAGCAAAAGATGCCATGAAGCTCAGCTTTGCCTGTCTAATTACTGGGGAGACACTCAGATCCAATCAAGTTCAGTGCTGGGAAGAAAAAGCCAACAATGCATTAAAAAGAAAAGTACTGCTCCATCCTCTGCCAATTAGCAGAAGACAACATGTGAGCAGTCCACAGTTTTTCCTTGCTTGGGTGCTTGTCTACGTGGGTTGCAGGTATGCATGTGAAGAACTTACTGCGTGACAGCTGCACTCAGGAGAGACACATTTGACATTTACTTCTTAGTACACAGGGTGTCTTGGCCACTCTTAACACTCAAAGTGAATCCAGCAACTTAATTCTGGTTTCTCTGCAGTCTGTGGGGCACAGATGGAGGGCGGGAGGCCCGATGGGCCTCAGAGAGCACAAGCCAATCTCAAGGAGGGCTCTGAATGTCTGGACAAAGAGCTCAAACTGGAATCTTTATTCCATGGGGACCAGAGCAGAGCACCCATGTGATGTGTTTACAATGCCAGGAAGCAGGACGCCTTATCAGCTGGGCCCTTTCCAGGGTGCGAGGCTTTGTTACATCTGAGATCTAACGAGTTGGACCAATCCAACCTAAGTCACAAATGAGTGGACCAACCTGGCCAGATCCACACGCAACGGGATCTCTTGCAAACTTCTGACCGATTATAGATGAAAGGAGGCAATTTTGACTCCCAAAGCTACTCAGGCACCGCATACGTTTCCCACCTCTACCACCCGAAAGCCTGTAAATCTAACAAAAATAAAGGGCGCTGAGAGAAGAGTCCAATGGTCTGAACAGGAGGAGAGAAGGCTTCAAGGGGCTATCAATTGTACAAGAAAATAAATGGAGGCCATTATACGCTGAGAATTTCTACTGCTTTTGAAGTGCAAATGAAAACCAAGATTTGTACCAAGTGTTTCGCTAGTTCCACCTGGGGCATAAATTCTGAGGGTTTAAACTGATTTTTTTTCCCCCTTTTTTTTTTTTTGCTCCCGAGGAAGAGATTTAAATCTGTGCCACTGAAAGGACTAATCCAGAACAAACTTGGAGCAAACGCTGCCTGTCAACTAACTGACATCCTCGGAGGCAGAAGACTTGAGCCCACCGGAAATGAACGGTCAGTTAACGTGGCATGGATGTTTGTGTAAATGTCTTGATGCGACTGTTTTCCAGCCCAAACCAACCACAAAAAACCCAATCTGGAATTAAACCTGTGGTCAAGAGGAATGAAACGAGAGTTGAAACCAGTGTCTCTAAACCACTAATCTACACAAACCAGACTCGGAGGCAGACACCCCCAAAAACTAGTGTCTGGCTCAGGATCCAAGATAACGGGCAGGCTAATTCTTTGAAAAGCAGCGAGGAAAAGGAAAATATGGTGGGCGGAAAGAGCGAGAGAGGCCGGTCCCCAGCCGGTGGTAAAAGGGGGTGGGGAGGAAAAGCGACGGAGACAGGCTGTGACGGGGGGGAGGGGGAGTCGCACCCACAGGACCCCCCCGCAGAGCAGGGGCAGGACCAGGACCTGCCTCCCCCACAGGCCCTGGGCCCAGGGCAGGCTGGAGCGCCCGCGACACGTCTCTGCCGGGCACGTGCCCCCTCCCCGGGCACTGTGTCCCTCTTCCGCAGGCTCGTGGCCCCCAAATCCTATCAATGGAGGGGATCCCCACCCCAGAGCCCCCCAGCCGGCTACACCCCTACACAGCTCCTAGCCCCAGCAG